TCGTGGGAGGAGAATGATGACGAAGAGCAGAAGAGGCGCGAAGTTAAAGTGGCTTACCGTCGCCGAGTTTCGCCTCATCCTCGGGATCGCGACCTCTGAGAAGCCTGGAGATCGCCGAGACGCTGGGTGCGCTCGTTCTGTCGCAGATTCCTTCTTTGATCAGCCTGTCTCGAATCTCCCACGAGAATATCCCTGGATTGTCGCGCTTGTACTCCTCGATCCGTGCCTCAACCTCGGGCGTGGCCACTCTCGGTTTGCTGCCTCCGATCACGCCCGGCCTGATGCTCCCCGTCTCTTGGTACCGATTCAAAATCTTCGACACGCATCCGTGCGACACCCTCAGCTGCCTGTTCGAAACCACGAATCGCAGATATTACAGAATAACTCGTTTGGGGAGGAATGGGGCGGTGGGAGGAGGGGGAGGAGAGGGAGAGTATGTGAGAGAGAAGAAGTAAGAAGAAATCTAAAATTTGGATTTCTCTTTCTTCGTTCGTTTTCATCACGCTCATCACGTGATTATTCTGTGTGTGAATAATCCTGTTCATTCTCTACCTCGAGATAACGCAAGGCCTAACACCAGCGGCTGCCATCTCCACGATTTTTAGACGAATATGATTAGGCAATGGTCTTCCATTTATAAACACACCACCGAGTTGATTGACGCGTCCTTGACCTGGTATCGATCCCAAATCTGCGACAGAGAACGTGTCAAGTTAAACATCTCTCTCTCTGCAAGATTAGCACACTGTGCGAGTCGAATTTTTTATTATCGTTTATTCCATCGATCGTCGCCATCGTCCTTTCTCGAATTTCAATCGGTTGGAAAATCTTGGAGGGCGAAATTTGGAGGGCGTTCGAGGGAACCGGTTGCTCCAAGATAAAAAGAGGTTGTTCGAAGAGAATCTATCGCGGACTCTACTCGACTCTGTTTCCCGCGTGTTCCTGCGAATCGAGGCAGAGAGAAAGAATGGCGAAGGGAGAAGAAAAAAAAAAAGAAAGAAAAAGAAAGAAGAAGAGAGAGAGAGAGAGAGAGAGAGAGAGAGAGAGAGA